TTTTTTTTTCTGAGAAACATCCACTTTGGGAACACTGGTATTTATTGCCAGCATAGCCAAGGAAATGTAGATCAATTCCAAAAGTGATTAAAACTGGTTTACTTTCCCAGGCTTCTACAGATAATTCTAATACTACCATGGAGATACAATACTTGGCAAATAATTTATAAATAAGATGACCTCAACAAGACTAAGCTTGCCTTTTTCTGGCAAGACATTTTAACTTTAAAAACTCAGGCTTTCAGCTTGGTACCAGTAGCTCAATGGTTAGGGTGTTGGCCACATACACGAGGGCTAGCGAGTCTTAACCAGCCTGGGCCTACTAAACAACAATGACAATGACAACTACAAGAAAAAAAAAAAGCCAGGTGCTGTGGCAGGTGCCTGTAGTCCCAGCTAGTTGGGAGTCTGAGGCAAGAGGATTGCTTAAGCCCAAGAGTTTGAGGTTGCTGTGAGCTGTGACACCACAGCACTCTAAGGATAATTAATAGCTGGAGACTCTGGTCTCAAAAAAAAAAAAAAAAACACCTCAGGGTTTCATTAAAATAGCCTAAGCAGAAAGAAGCACAACAAAGCATATCACTTCACTTCTCAAAAACTACTTTTCGCATATGTAGTATAGGTTCAAGAAAATCCTCAGGACCTGGAAAACACAGACATCTGAAAACCCACCATTGATAAAAATGCTAGTGAGGTGTGAACTGAGCATTTAAAAAAGACAAAATGCCTGAAAAAACCTCAAATTAACAAGATGTTAACAGAAATGACTGAGTGGGTCTCTATAAAACTATGAATCCTAAGACACTTTTAACTGCATTAAGAAATTTCATTCATAGCTGGGTGTTGTGGCAAGTGCCTGTAGTCCCAGCTACTCAGGAGGCTGAGGCAAGAGGATCCCTTGAGCCCAAGAGTTCGAGGTTGCTGTGAGCCATGACGCCACAGCACTCTACTAAGGGCAACAAAGTGAGACACTGTCAAAAAAAAAAAAAAATTCATTCATTGTTTTGAGCTTCTACTATGTGCTAGGCATTGAATTAGGCACTACACATATCAGGGACCAAACGAGACATAACTCATTCATTTATGGAGCATCTGGTCTTATGGGACAAACATTGCTAAAAAAAATCCCTCTGATAATGTTTAACTACAAATTCAGAGAACAGCATACTCTCCCTTCTCCCACCCCAATTCCCAGCAAAACCAAATTAAACTCTGGGCTTCTTAGACAAAGTGGTATCTGATTTTAATTCTACAGGCAAAAGGAACAGGATAAACAAAGATATATGGTGGGGAAAATGCGCAGATTCAAGGAACTACAAGAAGATAAGTGTGGCAGAGTAACACAAGATGAGGCAAGGGAGGTTAAAATCAGATCATGAAGGACCCTGTAGAATAAAGATTTTTTTTGTCCTAAGAGAAACAAGAAGTTATGACAACTTTCAAGAAAAGGTGTGACATAATCAGATTGGGGTTTGTAAAAGATGGAAGCCTGGGCTCGGCGCCTGTGGCTCAAGTGGCTAAGGTGCCAGCCACATACACCTAAGGTGGCGGGTTTGAATCCAGCCCAGGCCCACCAAACAACAATGATGG